CAATTGCTGATGTTTCTTTATTACTCTTTCTGTACTATTTATTATGTGTTATTAAACATTGTTTCCTACATTATAGCATTATAATGTGTATAAAAACTGAAAATTGTGATAATTTGTAAATGCAGATACTCTCACATAAAAAGTTATTCACAATTGAATTTTCCTAAATCTATTAAATTCATAATTTATTTGACAGAAGGAAATGTTTATGTCTCGTATTTCATATATCAAATATTTGTGCCAAGATATTACTTCAAATAGCGGAAAAATATTGATTTCTAATATCACATATATAAATATTTTTATGTTTGAATATTATATTTCAATACTTTTATCTTCCTTCACTAAGTATATGTATTTTTCTTCTAAAACAATAACTTTTTACCAACAAAAAAACAGTCGAAGCAGGAACCGCGCACAAAGTGACAATGAATTATTGATATTAGCTCTGTTCCAAGGATGTCTGCATATTCATGCCGTCTTTGATATTAATTTTTTTTTTTTTTTTGTATTTACACTAAATTTATGTAAAAATTATTGTGTTGTCCTGTTTATTTTTAACATTATTTACTATTAGCTTTCGGTCACGTGATAGTTCTAAATTTATCGCGTTGGCGACAGATTCTGCGCAATTGTCTGTTTACTTTCTTTTATGACTAATTTGCATAAATTTCATGGCGAAATACTAATCTTCACTTAACAGATTTAGATATTCTGTATTATTTAAATTTGTCAGAATTAATCGAAAACTTATATAAAATTTCCAGTGTTTATCCAGGAAAGTTTTAGCGTCAGGTGATTGTTTCAAATTCATCTCGATGACGTAGTTCGCGTGGGATTTTGCGCACTGATTTTTTTTTTTTTTCATAATTGTGATGATAAATTAGTAATCTTTATTAAACAGTTCTAGGTATTTCGTATTATTTAAATTCATCGAGTTTTATGGAAGAATTATTTAAAACTTTTAGTGTTTATCCCAGAAAAATTTTAACTTCCGGTCACGTGATATTGCACCAGAGCGTTCTAAACTTATTAGGTTAAGTAAATATGGAAAAATGGGGCCCCATTGAACTTCAAAAAGCCCTAGGCCCCGAAAAATCTAGATCTGCCCCTGTCCAGGCCCATCTGTATTGGGCGTGATTTTGGTCAGTTATTTAGAGTACAATGTGCAAAAATCTTACATTAATCAATTGATATTTCGCTTATTTATTTAGTCCTTTTTAATAATTTTGTTTCATGAATGCACTTTTTATTGTGTTTTAAAATAATAAACATAATTGAAATTTCGATTTCCTATTTATATATTCCATCTGTAATTAATTCTGAACAAGTATTTTTAACCGTGTCGGTTCCAGAAAGTTTTTCGAACCGTGAACCATACACTTTGTTATTTTTGGCTCTTTCTTGCTGAAGGCAGTAAGATAACCTTCTTTTCGATACCCATTGCAAGTTTGTACAGGCCTACAATGGAGGCAGTTGGGTGGTGACGACAGGCCCAACATATCTGAGACTTACTGCCCATGAAAAGTTTCTGGGATGCTCGCTCGGATTCAGTTCTGGGAATTCCAGAGCAGTAGGCTAATGCCATGACTTGCCTTGGCCAATTAGCCATCAACATCTATGGATTAATAAAGAATACTCCCTCAATAGGAAACATGTGAGATGTATCATCTGTGGGATAAAATTCAGAATGTCCAGAACTCAGTAGAAGGTAAAAAATTCTTGTATTTCATTAACAGTGTGCCAAGAAGAATTAAGGGAGTGGTTTCATCGTACGGAAATTGGGCAAAATATTAAAGTAAATTTTGTATTATTGGTTTCAAACAAACGGACAGTATTGCCCTAATGTTACTTAATTAATTAATATTTAAATTCAATTTTTTCGTATAATAATTATATTATTTTATTATACATTCAAACCTGTAAACCATACTTGCATCGTAAATTTTCTCGCTTTGAATAGGTCTTAGGCCTTAGTATTTTTTCTTTTATCTTTAAACTATATCAAATAAATCTACCAAAATTACATTCATTTTTATAGTAAAACCACTTTTATATACTTTAAATAAATTTATTACTAGAGTTAATCCAAAGTGATTACAACTAAAGATTGGAGCATTCGAATGCAAGAATCGAAAACTATTCGATTACGGAATGTGGTCATCATTCCCGAGGACGTGTTCTAAGTGTTCGAATACTTCGTGACTGTGATCCCTATCAACTCATACGACGGCGTACAAGTCAATTCAAATGCTGTACCAAGAACGCGTTTCTCGCTGTTCCGTCGAAAATTTTGATCGCATTACAATAGTACACAGACTGTTATTCTGTGATATGATTTCTCGGGAATTTTAATTCTCTGATTCGGTGATGTCCAAACGTTTCGGATGGCAGGCCAAATTGAACATAATTCATATGTAGACGGGCCACAAATATTTTGTATATTCCATATATACCAAAAGTAAGCCTATCCTGTTATTTACAAGTGATGTGTTAAATATGTTCGGCTAGATTAGCGTGTACTAAGGGAGGATGTGGGCGGAGGATCGTAATTTGGCCACTACTGCTCTAATCAACGTTAACTTCAATCTCTATAAGTATCAACAATGTTAATCAACTTTTCGAATATTCGGTACTATCAGATAGTTACTCCGTACAAGACAAGTTGGCAATAATGTATTAGCTTATTCTCATTGTTTTCAACGAATCACATTCTTCGGTTGTTTTCGAGAAATTGGTTCTCGGAAATTCAGTGGTACCGGCAGGATTTATTTCGGAGTGTATCAGTGCACAATGGATCGATTAATTAAATGAAGTGATTGAAATTAATTACTGTATTAGTTACGCAAAATTAATGAACCTTTTCAAACCGATAAATTCTTGCGTTTTATGTCATTCTATAAAAATTTTAATTTTTAAAAATTATAGTTTACGACAATTAAAATAGAGGAGATTTAGAAAGTGGTGTCGTTCGCTAGAGTGAAGAGCCTGAATGGGGTGGAGAGCGATTTAGCGACCTCTCTTCACGACCGGATGATATCAACCGGCACGAATGAAACCACGTATAAAATCTCCTATTAATATTCAATTAACTGTATGATAAGTATTGTCCACAGGAAGAACGTTCAAGAGAACACACAATTTATTGCAGATGCAATAGACAAATTTGAACAAAAACCAATAAGGCTTCATTTATTGTTTAAACTAAAATATACAATACTATCAAATTTGCGAGATCCTAGGCGTCGTCTTTTGCTTATATGTAACGCCATTTCTGCTGGAACGGTTCCAACCGAGATCTTCTCACCTCTAATTCAAAATGCTTCACATCTTCCCGGGATGCATCCAGATGATTTCCATACTATTGGGAAGCACGACAAATTATCTCAGTAATTATTACCTCTTGTATAATGTTGAGAGAATTCAATTTAGAAATTAGAAAACATTTTAATTGTAAACAATTATTTATTGTGACATTGTCGTAATGCCGGGCTGCAATTTAATTATATTTTTTAAATTTATTTAATTTAAAATATATGCTCTCCACCTCAAGTTAGTAGTGTCTTGCCCCTGTACTGTACTGTACATCATACTTTTTTGTTAGCAATAGAGTCGTGCTGTTCATTTATCTAACTCCTTTCGGGGTAAAATTTTCGAACAAATAATGTGGCTTATGGTTTGTATCAGAAGTTCATATATAGTTAATCTGGGCCTCCTGCCCCTAAGCTTTTCATATATGATCTCAACTTTCATCTATCTAACTCCATGCTTGAGATTAAGGAAGAACAGGCAAACGGACAACAGTGGGAATTTATGTCTACAATTTTTCAAATTGCAGCCCAATGAAGTTTAGTGTGTGGGCTGTCCATAAATTATGTAATACAGATATGAGTGGCTGGGTATGCAAATAATCGTTACGATGTGTTACAAAGGATGGAGATGTTTACGAAAACGTTACATAATACTACGGCCTCAATCCTTGGGTAGCAGAATGATTCATTTTTGTTTTTGGAGTGTATAGTTTTGTATAGCATGGAGTGTAGCATTACTGTTTATGTCATTGTCAGGACCACCGAGAGCTTGTATGGGACCCTGGGGTAGAGCAGACTCCTTTTGCCTCTTAGCGGACCCCATTAGCAATTTTATTTAATTTTTTGATAAATTGAAATACATAGAATGTTTCTTTCTATAAAAGAAGCCTAAAGATTTTATTTTCTGTTAGTAAAATTAACATTAATTTATTTTATATAGATATGAGTGAACTGGATCAGGAGAAAAATTTCCATCTTTTTATCCCTCTCGACGACCCTGACGATTACTTAAAAGTATGAAAATTCTCCGATAAGTCATAACACAGAATAACTTGGTCTATGTATTACTGTAATGCGATCAAAATTTCCGACGACAGAGCGAGACACGGTATTTGAATTGGCTTGTACGCCGTCGCATTAGTTGATAGGGATCACAGCCAAGAAGTAGGGATCACGTAAAATACGTCCTCGGGAATGACGATAGCGTTCCGGAATCAAATAGTTCTTGATTCTTGCATTCGAATAGTCCAATCTTTAATTGTAATCACTGTGGGTTATGGCTGTGTACACACTAGGCGTTTTGTGTTGCGTTAAACGCGCGTTAGCAGCGTACACACCGTTAAAACTAGGCGTTTAAAAACGCCTAGTGTGTACACAGCCTAAATCTAGTAATAAATTTGTTTAAAGTATATAAAAGTGGTTTTACTATAAAAATGAATGTAATTTTGTTACATTTATTTGGTATAGTTTAAAGATAAAAGAAAAAATATTAAGACCTATTCAAAGCGGAAACCTGCCAAAACGGAAAAAGTTTGGTGAGATGCAATTCCCGTTTACACAACTTTTACTAGTTTCTGTTGTTTCATATAACCGAAATCAGTAAAAGTTGAAATTTGATTAGACAAATTTATATATTTTTCGTTGTATAGTACAGATATTAATTGCGAATATTTATGAGAAAATTATCAAATAAAATCGTACTTTATGTCGATCCTCAGGAGTTTCTTCATATATGCCATATCTGTTTGTATAGTACTATAGGTCGATCACCGTTACAGGTTATTCTTAATCTAGCGTGTAAAAATAACATTGTCATTTTATCAAACTTCCAATGATTCTGTGTATCGTAGAGTTCAGCAATTATAGTTTAATGTAAAAACTTATCATTTCAAATACGGAAGTTTATGAGCAAATCTTACGAAATTCTACGCAAATACTGAGTATAGTCCTAGTTCATTACAGTAATACAGATGTATGCGGGAAAACGTCAATCACTTTCACTCCTGTGAACGTTTCTTACTTTATTTATAAAAATGACGGTTATGAGTACATTTAATTAAACGGAATTTGAAATATAGTTATGTTAATTTTTCTTTATTTTATACGTTGCATTCATTAGTTATCGTTGCTATACGATCCTCCATTTAGTGAGAAATTCACGTGCAGTATTGTCAAAAAGTGGGATAAAGGAGTAGATTTACTTTCACTTGGCGCCACACTTCCGCTATTACAGGCGTCGATGTTCACGAAAACGTTATTTTACAACACTTTAATCCATCGATTCGCCATTTCGCAAAATGGTAGGGATTGATTCGAATTTAGCCGTTATGAAAGTTTAGAAGAAAAAAATTAAACGTGTTTTTGTAATAGATGATTTATTCAGTTTAAAGCGTTAAAATGTTTAATTTACTCTTTAGATTTAATCTTTGTACTGTATATATGAATCTATATGAATGTGGCATACGAATATATTAAGCACGAATTATTTTTCGGATGTAAGAAAAACAAGTATTTGTTACTAGCAGACTGGATTTTACATCATAGTGATTTTACATATATTTCCTGTTAAGTTATTTGCATAGATCGTGCATATTAATTAATGGAATTTATTTAATAATAAGCTTTAATAAATTTTTAAAATTCTCTACATATTAATTAATAAAGCAATTTTTTTTCTATGTACAGATTTTCATATTTATTTTTTTAATTTATAAAATATAGTGTATCTTTAATTAATTAAAAATGTAATGTAATACTCATGATATTAATTATGCAAGTTCTAAAATGCAACATTTATTTGTGATTTTATACTATTGCATTTTGCAATTTAATCTAGAAAATGTTTAAATTTATGTTATTACATAAATTTAAACATTTACTAAAATTTTAAAACAAAATTTTACATAAAATTTATTTGAAGCATGTTTCAAATAAATTTTTAAATATTCAAAATAACAGTCAAGTCCACTTAAAAAAGCACCCTCTTGATGCTACATTATGTTTCCTTATCTGAAATAACAAGATCACTCAGAGGGTTGATTAATGATATTTGATTTTCTCCATAATTTTGTGTCTTAAGAGCTCTGTAGCTTATAACACACATGGAAAGGTTAAAATCTAATTATTAACATAATTTTATTGTACTTGCATTATATTGATTTCCACTCTTGTATAATCTATTTTAACATTCTGTTGAATAACCAGTAAATGCAGTATATTTATCAGTTACATTATTTTTACTTTTTCTCAGAAATACAGTAGGAGGCTTAGCTGGAAAGATGTGAACATTCCTGCTCTAAAATTTCTGAATGTTATCTAATGGGACATACAGTTTAAAAACAAATGATAATAATAATACCACCTTAAAGCAAAGTCATGTGATCTCTAAAATCTGGGTGCCTAGTCTCAATTTATGTGAGTAACAACTTGAATGTATTGGGAGTGTCATGTGTTATGAACTTGTTAAGTGAATGGTCTCACTGAATGAGTTAGTACCATGTGACATTCTTAACACACTCTTGTTGTTACATAAATCTATACTGTACACCCTAGTTGCTAATCACTCCTTGTCTTGCCTCTGCTTGAGATGAGGACATGTGATCTGTACCTTTTCATATGTCTGTTTAATAAAACCAATGTGTGCTCATTATGATTCTGAGAAATCTTTTGATTGTTTATTAGAAAACTAACAATGGAAAGATTCACCAAATCACAAAATGTTATAGTGTAGAGAACCCTGCCATCATGTGCTTTGGGCAGCGATATATTGTAAGCTTAAAGATAGACCCTTATAAATATTTCTTAGAATAGTTCTCTCTTATGCAGACTGCTGCTCTAAAAATGCCATTGACATAGCTTTCATTTAAACAGATTACTATACTATTTTGTGCTTTGTTAACAAGAGTCTCATTAATGTAAACAGAGGAGAAAATCAGGAACATTCTTATTTCTTAACTATTTTCTTATCTGGTACTCTGTTAAGTGGACTTGACCATATATATATTATTTTGAAATAAGGAGTAAAATTTTTTAAATTAATATTATTAAATCTTATTTTAATTTTTTTCTTCCAAATATTTTTTAAATACAATGTCTGCATATATAAGATTTATAGGATTTTTCTTTTTTAAGTAATAAACTAAAAATACTACCTTTATTAGAGTTCACTCATTTCTAATAAAGCAATTTTTTAAGTTTACTAATTAAGAAATTAGGTTACAGTTTTCTTTATTATTTATACTTTTCTTAACTTTTTTTAGTTTTGAGAGTGAAAAATAAAAGATTAATAGTGAGAGAGAGAGAGTACCTCTCTCTACTAATCTTTATTTTTCATTTTATTTTATTATTAGTAGAGAGAGAGAGAGAGAGAGAGAGAGAGAGAGAGAGAGACTACCTCTCTCTCTACTAATCTTTTATTTTGGAATGTTTTTTATTAGCAGAAAATATTTTTAAAATAAAAAGAAAACCTTCTTTACTGATGTTAAAATAGTCAAAACATAATTTGAAACAACTGTAGTACTGTTAAAGTTCTTAGATCCATCTTCCAATGATATAAACAAAATTCATACAACATCCATAGAATAAAACATACAGAAAATTCAAATTCGTTAATGAATGTAACATTCTAGAATGCTTGGACCAAGCCCAAAAGTATTAGGAAAGTTGTTTTATTTACATTTTAATAATTTTGACTCCAATAAAGCATTTTTGTTTTCTTTCAATAGAATTTGTGGATTGTTGATTAATATTCTACATTTAAAATATTAAAAATAACCTAAAAATACTGTAATTATTTTCTCAACAATACTTATTCTAATTTTTTATATATTTTATAAAATTATCAGTATTTATTATTGTTTTCTGCCTTAAATTATATTAGTGAAATATTATATTATCCAGTATTAATCTTGAATTCTTGATAACCGCAATCATACTAGGTTTTGTTCTACTAGAACACATACACAAAAAACAAAAAATTCTTTTAAATAGTCCTTAGTTCTTTCAAACTTTCTCAGCTTATACTCAGGGGTTCATGGAATCAACACTTGACATGAAACTCTGAAGATGAGCCAAAGAAAGTTCAAAGTAATAGAGACTACTTTAAACTTTTTTTGTGCTCCAATAAAGCTAGAACAAGGGTTACCAGATATCTATGGTTGGATTAAAGGACACTGAAAATGATTAATGCTACCAGCTTACCACTCTCAAACTTTTGCTCTACCCTGTTGCATCCTAAAATAATCCAGCAATGAGTTTCTTAACTTTCCCAGCAACATTTAAAACTGTGTGGCACCATCTGTTATGATATTTTATTATGAAAAACCTTTTATATCTTTCATTATTATAAAATGGCAAGAAGTTTAATTTTTAGGGTAAGGATAAATTTTATAAAAAATTGTTAATAGTGAGTAAAGTCATTAAGTCCAAACTTACTCAAGATATGATACATGGCCTCCCTCTATCTCCCCACCCTATCTACCTTTAACCACCAAAATTTAATAGCATCAATTCCCCTAATACACAAACCTTCCTGCAAAAAATTTCAGATTTTTTTCAACAAAAAGCACAGGAGTTATTAAACTTCAAAGAGGGTGAAAAAAATTGTACCCCTCCACACACACAAGCATACATACATATAGAAAAAATCCCAAAATATTTTTGTATTTTTTCCAAAATTTTCAGGGTCCTGAGTCCAAAAATGTAAAAATCTTAGGGAGGTAATTTTTGACCAATTGCAATACTTTCCCACTTAACTTAAAAGTTGCAAACTCATTTTTTTTTTCAAAATATAGAGATCAGTTCTATAACAACAATGCAAGTATGTCTGGTCATTATAATATAATGCAACAAAAGATTTAGAAGAAAATAAATTTGCATTAAATTTGTCATGTACAGGCATCCACTGCTTAATGTCTTTTGACAAAATGTCTCTTGTGTTTTTAATTATATTATTTATTTCTATTGTTAAATGATACATAAACAATTCAAAAAATATTTTATAAGTCTTGATCCAATGACTAAATTAACTATATAGATCAGTGCCAAATTAGGACCAAGTGATAGCATAAGCAAAGCCTAACAATTGTGCTGTCACAGTTGCTCCTTGTTTAATTTACAAGACATTAAGATTAAGTAAATGATGAATGTGAAGTAATAGTTCAAAAATTTATCATTCTTTTTCAGTTTTATTCCAGGTAAGACCCCACAACTATATCAAATTAAAAAAAAAAAACACAAATAGCAATAAAAAAATATATAAGCAAAGATTTTACCTATAGGTTAGTATTTATTTACTTTTTAATTGCAAAGTCTTTGTTCAAGCTCTCCAACTGATTTAATGTAACAAATCTACTTCTGCACTTGGCAGAGACAAGGCATCCAATTTGTTTTATCACATAGCTGTTCATCTTTGATTTTTAAAATGCTTGAGTTGAGAAAATAAATGCTCAAGCATGCAATTTGTAACAATTAGTAATACTTTTCCACTGTTATATTAATATATAACACAGTCGGTAAAGTAAAAAGTAAAATCAGATAATTTTTTACTTAAAATTAATAACTAAACATTCCGTTTATATTTTTCAGATTTTAATTTAAAAAGCAGTTTTCCTATTGACTATAAATATTTGAAAGTTTTAATTTAATTTAGATTTAAGAATATTTAATAGTAGTAAACCATAGCTTTCTATGGGGGAAGGATATGGAGTCATATAATAGAATAGGTATACATTACATTATAAATCACAACCTTTAAAAAATAAAAATAAAGAACATATTGTATCTTTTCTCATTTCAATGAAGAACAAGATCATTTAGCTAAAATAAAGAATTATTATTTGAAATAAAAGGAAATCAGGCAACCCTAGCTAGAATTGATATGATTATGATAATGTTATTTTAAAGAATATATTTATTCTGCTGCTTAAATTGCTGCATAGGCTGCAGCAGTGCAAGTAGCATCTTTAATGGATGCTGAGGTGGCCATTATTTTTAATCTATTCAACTTCATGAGCTCTGAAAAGATGGATATAGAAGTAATCAATAATCATTTCAAAACACACATTGCATTCATCCCCACACAGCCATATCAATATCTACAATTTAATAACCTTTGTCATAAAATCAGTGAGTCTTTTGACAGTTTATAATGCTTTCTAGGACTCATATTAAAGTTTTGGGTATGGTGAATAAACTATTACAAAATGAAATTATATTTGGTGTAAACAATAGGTTGTTAAAAATATATGCTAGAACAGTATTTTTCAACCTGTGGGTCGTGACCCCCAGGGGGTCGCAAAGC